TATATATATATTTGTATACTCGTCTGTCAACTTATGTATGATTGTCCCATTAAAAAAATTTTTTTCTCCTCGCTTGGAAATTCAACTCTCTTCTTTTTTCGAACGAAAGTAGTCACATTAACTTGAAAAACGTCCACGCGTACCGTAGAAATACACCCTCATTTACATCAAGCTTAGTTACGCACACACGAGCGAGCACACTCGCACACTTGAGTATCATATTTGATCGTACACGTGCCATGCCTCGAAATCGAATAGTCTAACATGGTGATACATAAAACAAGTCTAGCTCTCATTTTTACATACACTCTTGTACTCTCGTCTTTTTTTTACTCCCCTTTTCGCGTTACATCTCACGCGCCTCTCGTATAATGTTATTCAAGAAACACGATCGTATCAATAAGTATACAGATTTAGTATACGCGTGTACAAAAAAGCTCTTTTTGAAGGTCCTGATGCTTATTTATACACAAGTTTATGCAAATGTCGCTGAAAATTGCACCCCAGGGATATTATAATCAAGATTCTCCTGATCCTTCGCGATGTGATGGACCCGTTCTGGGATACTTGAATGGAGTCTCTTTCAAATTTGCTGGTGAGATTATTGATTTTATCTTTTATTTTATAACTTCATTGCTGTAGAGTTTTTTCAAGTCCAAAAAATACGGTGTTGATTAACGAATGTACCAAACAGAGTATTAAAAACTGCAGTTTTACAAAAAATCAAATGAAAGGCGAAGTCAATGCTTACCAAGAAACTTTTTTAGCTGATAATAAGATAAAAGCGCGTTACCAAGCGCTGTGCCACATCGTTCACAGCTTAATAGTGATAGGTATTGTATTGTGCTGATTCCATTGATCATTAATTCGAATGGCCATAATGTATAAAATTTATTTGTATATTATGTGATTGAAAAGCATTCAAAGTTTTTTTTCTTTTCCACATATTGTCAATGTAGAGAGCTACGTTTTTTAAAGCAATTGTGCAATGAAAGAACACCAACAGTTTGTACAACTATTATATTTACAAAACAAAAGCAACTTATAAGAGGTTTTGCCATCGTTACGAATGTTGACGGGTATTTGGTTTTCCAACAGAGTAATAATTGTGGTGCATCTCATGAAAGAATCCTAAAAACAAAATATACCCCGAAAAACCATTGAACTGCTCCAATACAGTGAACCCATTTAGCATAAACCATTCCTGAAATACAAATTTAATGCAGCATCAGCGTCAGCATAGCCTAAGATCGAAGAGAGAGGAAAGTAAGCGACAGTGAGTTAAAATGCATGCCGTACAGGCAGTATAGGTACAGGACGGCGATACGAGCTAACCGCAGAGATATAGTGTAGGAGAGGAGCATAAAGAAGAAGAAAAGTAGCAATACAAGGGCATAGATGCAAGAAGAAGAGCCGTGGTGGGGGAGATCAGAAGAGGAGAGTCGGAGAAAAGAAGCCTCTCTCTCTGAGCAACGAACGATGGGGAATGCGTGCGATCATGCGTTGGGATCGGGAAGGGAGGCGGAGAAAAAACCAACGAGCACACACCACTATACCCGCACGCACTGGTGTATCGAACATATTGAGGAGAAAAAACCATCCCCCCACTTCCTCCTGTGCTCCCTACTCTCTATCTGGTTCTCCCCACTCCGCTGATCCTTGGCTCCTTCCCCTTTGTATACGCGCGCAATAGCGCGGGCTGCTTTTGCGAATAATATACCTACGTGCTTAGTCCGGACTCTGCTCCCGACGAGGCGAGTCATGATCATTCGCGCCATGATGCCGAGACCAAGCGAGCTTTCGCTGCTCCCGTTAATTGTGCCAGAATAATCGTCTTTGATAATCATCGTCTTTACAACTATATTTTTTAAGAAACGCGAGTGACCGATTTTTTTTTGTGTTTTGCTTATAGAAAAGTAAAAGAAAAAATAAAAATAAAAGTAACAAAGTTTAAGCAGGAGATATGCGGGTGCTCTAAGGAGCATCCGTTCGTTATCACCAATAGTGCGAAGAAAGAAGAGCGATCGCTCGGTGGACCATACGTTATACGACGCAAAGTCATGGCGCGACGTAGCGAGGATCGGCTACTTCGCTGCGCCGTCCTCTCGGCGATCGGAGCTCTGCTGATGCTGCTTGGGATCACTGGATGCTCGGCGGCGCCCACTTCGCACTCGCCGTCCGTGCCATCGGCCGATCAGTGTGACTGGACTGGCAGGTCAGTCTTTCTGTGCCTCTCTACCCTCGTTTTTTTTCTCCAATTCCTTTTTTGTAGGATATGTACACTGGTGTGATTGTTATTGCAATGTTAGGGGAAAATATTGATAATGCATCAGGTGGTCCATGGGGGGCATTGATCGGAAAATCGGTTGCGTAGAACCGAACTTATGCCGCAATTTTTTTATTTTGACACTTGCGTGTAAGCTTGTGGTGGTTTTCATCTGACATATTTACCAAATACCTGCAGAAATAAACAAATCGATTCCGTTGATACCTTCTTTTCGTATGTACCTACTCAAATCTCAGTTTCGCCCGTCGAGTAAGTTGACCTCCGCGAGTACCGTTATGGAGCGACTTGGATGCATACGTCTTACCGCGGCTCGAAATTCAAGGCAACGAAACGTTTTGACTTTCCATTAAATTACATATGGTATTAAAGAAATTAATTTTTCTGTTGATGAATTTTTTCAGCCGTGTTATACTTACAAAAGGCTCTGTATTCATAATAGGCCCTGAAATCTCTTGAAATCCGAGAGAGGCAATAATCGGCCATTGGAGGAGAAAAAGAGAGAACGACCTAGCTCTTGTCCATATACTCATAACGAGCGATCGCCCAAGTGCACTTAAACTCGTCTGTTTTTCTATCGAACGGTGAAAGTTGCGGCTCGCCGTCGTAAAATTCTTTTCCCCGGACAGCCGTAAATACGCACGAGCCTGTATAACCGTTACAAGGGGACGGCCTCCTTCCGTGGAAATTTTGCCGAGGCTTTACGGGCGGATTATTGGAGAAAATACAGCGCCGACTGTCGCGACGACGCCAATGAATGGTTTTACTATTATTGCCGTCGGTGAAGATCTGAGATCGGTAATACACTCCGGGTTTTCGAAAAATAGATGCCAAGGATGACTAATCCTCAAATCGAGTCGTCGATTTAACGGAAATCGGTATAAAAATCGGTACGAAAATCGCATCGGAAATAACTATTCACTGAAAAAATATTCTTACAACTCAAGAGTGGTCAAACTGATTACAATAGTGGTTAAAGATAAAAAGTCGACAGGATCTAGCAAATGGAACAAAGATAGACCGCATCTCGTGAAAGAAAACAAGCCCCATTGAATATTCGCGAACCAGCGTTACGATACCCAATACGCACGGCATTTCACGGCATTTCACGTACAATGGCGTACTTAAATGTCGCAAGCGCGAAAAATAATCTCCTCCTTCTCTTTCTCTCCTCTCGCGATTATTTGGGCCGTTCGTTTCGCCCGTATTAACACGCGCATTAGAGACCACACGAAGCATAGACTCGGGCCTTTTTTTCCTCTCATTTTCCTTATTACGCGAGTATAGGTATAATAATACACGTATGTATGCTTACTGCCATGAGTACAGTAAGCAACTCTCTCGCAGTTGCGCAAGACTGAAATCGTGACCGAGCGAGTGTACATATCCCAAGAGAGCGGGCTCTTTCGCCCTCGACTTCCGCGTCCACGGGATTTAACGGAACACTCGCCTACGCGCGCACGAGATGTATCATTTATACGTACGTATATCCGCTTCGTCAGACTAGTTGCGAATGTGTATGTATGTGGCTGAGTAACGCGACGCGACAAGTCTTCTCTTTTTTTTTTTTTTGACTCTGGTTTCTGAGAATATACGAATGCTTGTACAACTTTGACGGCGCGATTTTTCTGACATTTCATTCGACAGAAAGAGAGAGATTTAGTGTTTTATTATACGCTTTTTGGACCGCAATTTGCATCGATTCTGCTGCTTGGTCTTTTTATCCCTCGCTTTTTCGATTAACAACTGCTGCTTTTTTCGGCTTTTACATATTACGGCCAAAGCCGTGGTTTCTTCCGCGCATACCTACATAATACACTGAGTGACGCTGAAAAAAAAACTCGGTCGTAAAGTATCTCAAGGTAATTGAATTTGTAGGAACGCAAAACTCGGACCCACAACTTAATTGGCTCATTAGCATGGAAAAAAAAACTTGACGTGAAGTTTTCAAAACCATGTCGACGGTTTCTCCATCTTTTACTCAAAATTTCCAAAGATACCAAAGGCTGTTATTGTCAAACGTTTAGTTAAGGTAAATAATTTTTTCTCCAAATTGCAACTGCAACATCATTTTCGTCCTTGCATCTTACCTTTTCTTAACACTGTACAGTTTATGAGTAATGTTTCGAAACACAAGTCCATAGTTTAAAAACTTTAAAAGAAACAACATCACATACCTACTCCTACCTATAGGTTGTATACAATAGCGCACTTAAGAGTCCAAATTATCCAGCCTCGTAAAATATCGGTCACCACCTCACCTCGACGCACACATAGGCGCGGCCGAATTTATCACTTTTTTCCCCGCTCGAACTCCCCGTCTCCGCATACTACATACGCCCATTTGCCAAAGAAAAAGAAATAACCAGTCGAGTATATAGGCTTCGTTCTCCTCCCATGTTTCTTTCCCGCGTACGGCAACCTTGCCCGGGAGTCCTTGCGCGCTATCGGCAAATTCCTCGGCTTCCTCGAATCGGCAATAAGAAGAGCGTGTGCTTGCTGTCGTCCCCGCGCGCGCTTACACGCACCCATTAACCCGCGTGTATATATATATACCTATCGGTAAGAGGAGGGGACGACCTGGATCCTCGTTGTATCGGTTTGTACGATTTTTTTTTTTTTTTGCTTTTTGGAACTGTACGCGAAAAAATCACGGAAAGGGGGAGTGCGGGTCGTGATCGATTTATGGGCTTGACGTCAATTACTTTTTGACGGACGGTTCATGGAGCTACAAAAACGCTTGGAAGGTCCAAGGTTTCTGGGATATCGCGAAATTCGTTGAATAATTTTTTTCGAGCTCGGGTGTTTTGTTTATTTTAAAAAGTGAAAGGAGATTTTGATCCATCAAAAGCTGCCAAAGCTGAAAGATGAGACACGGTATGGATGTTAATCGAGAGAGTTGTTTTGGTGCACTTTATAGTTTGTTTGTTTCGTGCACGATGAAAACAATTTAAAAAAACGCCCTTCCAATCGTCAGGCCATAAAAATTCTGAGCAACAGCGATTACATTAGCAATTCAATCACAAATAATTATCAAAGGCCGCAGCCCCACGACGAGCCACATAACCATTCGAACAATCTCGTGTACCCTCCTAAATGGGCAAAGTCCCGTGAGAGTCCGTACTATATATGTTACCATCACAGGTGGTTATATATAACGCTATCCATCCGTCCATACAGAGCTGTATCTCTTACCACTGAGAACGGAAACGCGCACAATTAGTCCGTATATGCAGGTTCATGAGGATGGCAAAAATACCTTGACTCGTGATTTAGATGCAAACTACCCTCTGCCGCGCGTAATCGGATCTTTCTCGTATTTCTTTTGTAATATATGTATATCCATCAGTCAGTCTGGAGTTGTGCTACCACTGATACGCGCTTACACGTATGCACAGACAGGTATTGCACATTATGCACAAGATTAGTTCTAACTCTCATTTCGAGGGTCAACGGCCCGAACAAAAAAAGACAGACGTATGTTTTTACGTAGTTAGCTCAAACGTGCCAGTACAATGGATGCGATCTAACGAAGATGGAGAAAAAAGAGGAAAAAACGGGCAATGCCGCGCATATACACCGCGTACGTACGACATTTTATTTGAGGTCAGTAGTTTTTGAATGAAAATTTTTGAAAAATATGCATAGTTCCTTCAAAGATTTTATTTAGCCAAAAGAAAAGAAAATATTGAGACTCTTGTCCTATGGAAATTCTTGAAGCTGGTCAAAACGACAAATATCAATATTCTTTTATTTGCGTTAACGACCGCAAATCTATCCTCAAAACATCTATAAGCATTAGCTACAGATGTTAGCAACTACACATAATATTGTGATCCTATATGAAATAATCTACTTTGCTTTCAATATCACATTGCAACTTCCAACGGAACGCTCCGTCTATATACACATATACCTGCGTGGCGCGTAAAAAAGAAATCTCGAACGATGATTTAATAAGCTTTCGCGCGCGCGGACCAGTCCAAAAAACGTATCCACACGAGAGCAAAGAGAAAAGAAAGGATCCGTACAAATATCACAGACGCAAAGGAAGGTAGTCACGTTCGTGTTATCGAAAAAAAAAAAAAAAAAGAAAGAAAAAAAACAACAGGTTCAGAGAGAGAGAGAGAGAGAGAGAGAGGGAGGTGGAAGACGCAAGCAAAAACCAGTCGTGCTGGTTGTCCTCGTATTATACGCATGTATGCGCGAGTTACTTACGTTTTATACGTATATGTACGTGGTCCTCTGTATACTGTGCCCTGGAAGAAAAAGGCTGTATACAAAGTCATAGGAGGATGAGGATACGAGGAGGCGCGGGGACGCATATGTATCGCAAGAACCGGTTTTTCCTCCCGTATAGATAATATGTACGTGAGTACGTCTGTATGCGTGTGTGCGGTGTGAATTGCTTCGTATAGGTTTATATATAGTATACATACACGTCATGTAAAAAGATCGGAAAATCCAAAGAAAAGAAAGAAAGGGGGAATACGTAGCGAAGCGAGCTCTATCTATTTGCTGTAGGCTTAGTTATTTTGTCTATGCGCAAGTTCGCTGGCAACATATTCTAATAATAACTCATGCGCTTGGTTTTGCGTTTTTTTTGCGTGGTATGGACTACTGTATTACGATTTTTCTTTTTTTTCCTTTTTTTCTTTTCTTTCTAATGAATAAATTAATTTTACTTTTTTTGACCACGTGACCTTTTTTGTGAGCATTTTCTGCATAAAATTTGCAATTTAAAAAATTTTTGCTGCAACGCGTAAAAAAAGATGTAAAACATAGGGACACTGGCTTCATACATCGATAAATGTGAAATTTTTAAAAGAGACAATATTTTTTGCCTCCGTTTTTATCACACTAATCGAGAAAACACTAGTTTACAGTATTAAAAAATGGTTCTATAAAACTATAACGTGACATAGTGCCATTCTTTGTTTCAATTGGCTATAAGACACAAAAGAACGTGCTTTTCGTAAAACAACTCACGTACTGACAATGTGATTCTATAGTTCCACTATTATTTCTCATCCTACTTTGCTTTCAAACAACATTTTTCCTCATAGTTAGGCCTAAAATTATTCGCTATGTACCCATCGCGTTGAAAAGAATACGAAGCCAAATTTTCGGTTTATTACACTAGGGGGCTGAGCGATCCGCACGCCAAATCCCAAAACTTAATCAAACATTTATTTTCTATATTTTTAAAGAAAAATACAATAATTATATTTTTATCGTAACACGTAACATTGTAATCTTTATCAACTTACAAATTTAAATGACTTTTCACTGATTTTTCAAAATCTCGCTTTCAAATCTACCCGTGCTTGATCAGTTTCAGCCAATCACGCGACGAATAAACAGGCTTCATCACGTGAGCCATCATTTTTTAAAGATAGGATTCAGTTTACAAGGCAATAAACAAATCAAAACATTTTCGCCTTTGACAGATCTCGTTCCAAAAAGTAGGCAGTAAAAATTCACCACACATATAACCTGATTTATAACTAGATCAACGACATATTATATACTTGAAGAGTACAATTGTCTTTCCGAGTGAAGTTTGTACTTTAGCCTCCGGCTACTTTTATTTTCTTATTGTGTAACAATTTATATGAGTACACATAAATGTATAATATGCATTTGGTCCAACTTTCTAGATTTTAAATTTTATAGTACTTTTTTGGAGCATTATAAGTTGAAACGTTTGTATACCCACTATTATTGGATGTTTCAAAAATTTATTTTCTTCAATCTTAAAAAAACTATTTGTTTGAATCACGGAAGCTTAAATAATGTTTAAGCTTAAATAATAAGCTTGTTAATTTACAAAATTTTATTTGAATCAAAATACTTCGTAAAATATAGCTTAAAACTAGAAACACATCATATGTCCAACATCCGATAAACAGCTTTTTGATTGACACACTTCCAAATATATGTATCCACTCATTCTTCTCTTAAATAAATGGTTCTTGGTTTTTAAATAAAGTAATTAAGGACCATCATGTCATTAAAAAATTTTTTAAGCACGTGAGAAATTTTCGGATTTCACTAAAAAATACATTTTTGTTTCTTGGGTAAATTAAAAAAAAATATATTGTGTTTTTTTCAATGCATTTTAGACATACTCATTTTGAAAATTCCTTCCTATCTTAGCTGAATCGAGACAATACAACCGAAAAACTATTAATAAAAAATAGCAATTTTTTTGTGCCAATCAAAATAACACTTTAATAAATTTCAAAACACATATCAAGCCAAATTATATACTAACACTGTCCGCAAGTACCTCGAAACATTGAAGTAACCAAAAAATTAGGGATATTCAAGTAGTATTATATAAATTTAATGAACAAAACGATTAAAACAGTATAAAAAAAACCTCGAAAAAAACTTATGAAAGTTTGATATGAAAAATTTTTAATTGTATCCGATGATTATGAAAACGTTGTATTTTTGTACACGAGAAATTTTAATTGTGCTCGTAAAAACAGCATTTGTTAACATACACCGAAAATGACCTGCTCATAGTGTTGTTTGAAACAGCCATCACCAAACTGAATAATAGCGTACGCCACAAGTGTACACCACTTCACTCACGTGGGTATTGTTACATCGATTTACGAATGAATAAACACTTGAAGCAACTTGAAATGTTGACCCACCTATTTTCAAAAAAATAGGTTATTATCATTGATGCGTGTCATGATTAGCTTAGAGAGAAGCTGGATAATCGCCGCTCGCATAAGTGATGTAAGCTTAATAATAGTAATAATCATAATAATAATAAGAATAATAATAATAATAATAATAATGATTATATGAGTAAAGATAATTATGAGGATGGTAATAATAGGAATTTAGTACCACGTATGTAACGCGGTGGTGTCAAAATAAAATACAAAAAGCCGACAAACTCGCGAATTACGGTCTAGCGCGCAAGGAGTAAGGGTCTGGGTTGAGGTGTAGATGTTACGCAGGCGATATACCCTACAGAAGTTTTTCATGCTCGAGGGGCCGTATGATAGCCGGTGCAACGATGTGAAACAGTCCATACACTGAAGGTGCATTTTGCTTTTTTTTTTCTCCTCATCTGAATATACGTACACATTCTTTTCCATTTTACGCTTGATTGTGAAATCGCGTTCCTTACGCTGTGCCGTATACAATAAGTAATCGCTATATGAAACAATGTGCAACAACTTTGCAATCAAAGAGGGTATACAACAAAATTGCTTGATCATACAGTTATATACAGATGTATTTGATGCTTATTTCATCACCAGATCAAAAGTAACAGTCATCGACAACCACACCTTGGTATATACCTATCCGCACAACCTCTCCGACACGAACCCTCCAAAATTATTTTCATATAAAGTATATACCTGCACCTCTTTGAATGTGTACACGAAAAACAGTAAGCAACCAAATACATAAAATAGGCATACTAACGAAGTCGTGAATTTTTTAAATTCCAGCGGCGGCAGCGGCAAGGGCGTGCGTCCAGTCTACCTGCGCTGCTCCCGAGGTGGCGTGTCCTGGCGCTACCCCAAGGGCGCCCTCCGGGTCGTCCTATCGAACGGCGGCGGCAGCCACGACCGCATATTCCGCGGCTGCGTGAAAGCCTCGGGCCCGGCGCGCGTCTACCTCGAGAGCAAGAACAGCTTGAAACTCCTGTACGCCCCGGGCGACGGTAAACACGAGGCCCTGCACCGGTGCTTCGGCTCGCGGGCCGGCATGGCCGCCCTGTACGTCGAGGCCGACGGCGGGCTGCTCCGCCACGAGTCGGGCCCCGAGGGCCAGCACCTCAAGGTCAGGCTGCACTACGACCTCGAGCCGGCGCGGTTCTTCGGGGCCGAGGAGGACGGGGGCTCCAGGAGGAGGTCGGCGAGGGTCACGGCGGACGAGCCGGAGCAGGTGGAGTGCAGGCCGTGCAGCAAGGAGGAGCTCGCCGAGGCGTACTGCCAGAGCGACCTCGTCGCCAGGGGCACGGTCAGCGCGGTGGAGCGCAGGCCCGAGATCGAGAGCTCGGAGCTGAGGCTCAGGATTACCAAGACGCTGAGGCGCGTCGATGAAAACGAGGTGGGTGACTTTGGTCTTTTCTTTTTGGATTTTGGACGCGCCTTTTTAGGGGAAAAGTGTAACTAATAGCGCGACACATCTCCGTCGGGCTACTATCTACAAAAAGTAGCAAATACTGATTTTCTTGCCTGGAAATTTTTTTGTCTAAACGTTGAGTTTAGGACGAGAATACTTAATTGGTTCAAGGGGCTATATCTTGTAAAGTTTTTAATTAAAAACAAAAAACAAAACAAAACAGGTTTAGATTACTTTTCAAAACTTTACAAGACGGACCAAATAGAATTTTTCAGGCAAAACGCTAATTGTTGTACGTAAAAAGGGAGACGACACTTATCTGTGCGTGCTTTTTCGGTTGTGAACAGCAGTATCACTGTCTCTTTTTTTTTCTCGTGTTTTAAGTAAAAAAATTCGTATAACTTCTTAGATCCGAGTATGTAATATGCCTTACTTATACGTGGTAAAAATCTAACAAGTCCATTATTGCTCGTAACTACAGGAAAGTATTTAAAGTACTTAAATTTAGTAGTCAAAATCTGAGAATCGAAGGGTTTTGGTATCAAACACGCCAATATCAGTGAAATACTTTCCCATGTGAGTAGCAAATACGATTACAGGGAGCAAAAGAAAAAGGTATAAATAAGTTGAATAGCTTGTTTGTGTGGTGTCCGAGGTATGCCAATGTACATGTACATACATTTGACAAAGACGACAAACTGTCACCATATAGATGCGTGCCCGCAAATTAAATCCATCCACTAAATATGATAATTAACATGAGTTGAATCATACGTATTGGAGTAATAATAAATTGATCGATGATCGTTGCAGGAGAACGAAGTGGACTCTGGCGATCCTCGGCTGGCGAAGGAGGTGAGAATCAGAGTACCGATGGCCTGCGACGCGCGCCACGGGCCCGGCGAATTTGTGATAATGGCCAAGAAGCGGCTCGGCGACCTGGCCCTCTCCTGCGCCCCGAGACTCGAGGAATGGGCCGAGGCTGTGCGCGACATGGAAAGCGCGCCCTGCGTCCTCAAAAGCTAGGGCTTCCCTCGATCGCGACGATTCTGTAATAATACCATGTAACTAGTACTTGGAGAGCAAAGTTGATTTATTACTATTATTACTATTATTATTTTTATTATTACTATTATTATTACTTTTGTTTGTTTGTTTCATTGTAATTTTTGCGTGAATTCCAGTTTTTTCTTTTTTTTTTTTTTCGATTGTCCACGAGTTTGAAAATAACACTTGTATGTTCAAGCCAAGTGGAGTGCAGATGGCGACTTGTAATGATTTAAAATTTTATTGTTCGTTGTTGGGATGAAGGAAATCTACTTTGTGGCTGGAAAACTTGGAATTCGCGCAACAATCCGATATTGAAAATGAAGAGCAAGATGTATTTTGTTATATTTTTTACGCTTCGAAAGATATAATGATAGAGTTCAATATTTTTTTTTTCCCGAGACGGTGTGTATACTCTTAAATGCGCGTGTGGACATGTATGTACATATAAATTTCCGAGCAATGGCAGATCAAAGCTTGTGTGTGTGCATATGTATGTCATACATCGGTAAATTTTACTGCTCGACTAACGGAGCAATCATTTTTCTTTGTACAAAAAGCGTGTAAATAGCTGCTAGTATGTAGAACTAAACGTAACTTGAACGTGTGGCAGCCTGTGTATATATATATTGGATGTACTTCGAAAATAAGACATCGATCTCCAAACTGTGATATTATTGTATTATTATAAAAGATTTTTAATAAAAAGGAATTTATTCGTCGTCGTTTACGAAACAAATATTGTATACAATTCATATCGATGTTTTTTTTTAAATATATATAAATATATTAATTCGTGGATCTTGATAGATTCATCAGTATGTGATGAAAGTAAATCATTGTTGTAAAAGGTTTACACGAAACTTTACGATGAAATAAATTCTAATTGCAGTACGAATGCTAAAACACGAGAAATTTAGCAATAATTACTGCGAAACTTTGCCGTAATCTCTTCTGAAAATGATTTTATCGTAATGATTTTCTTGTTATACTTGCAATAAAATGTGTGTGATGGAAAGAACGTGACGAGTGGTACTTACAATAAAGAAAAAGAAAATGAAAATTGGCTTTCTTTTTAACCAACCCCCAATTTTACTCTCCATATAATAAATGCAGAGAAAAGAACACGTGTAATGAACAGTACATATACAGTGAAAAATAACTAGATCAAACTTTTGTTTAACCCCGTGTATTCCATAGTATTGTACGTATTGTATTATTACGAAGGTCTAATAACTTGAGGCTTCTCTTACAAAAGCTAAGTATATCGCATTTTTATGTGCATGCACGGATATGCAGCTACTATTTTTAAGTATAAACAGTAGATATGTTAGTGGAGCATTATACAGTGAGAGAAAAAAATAACATAAATTATAGAGAAATTCCAGCAAAAATTACCATTCCGTACAGTAAATCGGATGCAAGTTGGCAAAAAAGTAGAAATTGTTAATTTTAATCGTAAAGATTAACGTTTCAACAGTTAAAATTATGGTTCGAAGAGTAGAAATTATGGTCAGAACAGTAAAAATTATCATACTGGAACAGTAAACCTTAAAAGGATCGGTTAATGAACTTTACTTTCCCGCATCGAAATTTTTACTGTTCTAACCATAACTTTAACTGTTCAAACAATAGTCTTTACTTTTAAAAATAATGATTTTTTCCTTTTTGACACCTTGTATTCGATTTACTGTACGAAATGGTAATTTTTGTTGGAATTTCTCTATACTTTTTATTATTTTTTTCTCTCAGTGTATCCTCGGACCTACCCAAGCGATGATTGAATAAGTAAATAATTAATAAGTTATTTAAACCAATGATAAAAAATAACAGTCCAAATTTAAGACTCAAAAGAGAATTCAACAACTGTCATTGTTGATTATTATTATTAAATTTTTTTAAATTTTGTCTCAAGTCACACTCGGAAGGTACAAAAAAAAATTAAAATTGATAATAACTATAATAAATTGTAACTAACTGAAACTTACAGTTTATAATATGTACGCTGAAGAAAGAATTTTATCCATCCAAATAAACTTTTATTTGAATAAAAACAAAAAAATATTTATTTGAATAAAACAGTTTTTTTTTAATTAAAAAAAAATNTTTCATTTTATTCAAATAAATGTTTATTTACCATAGCGAAAATTTTTTTCATTGTATTATTTATATTATTAATTAATTTAAAATTTTTGAGTGACTGATAAAAATTTCTACAAATTACTACTAACTGTTCATAAAATTATTTGTGGCCATGATTTAATGAGGAAGTCAAACTAAATTTTTCGAATCGATTTTCACAAAAAATTACAAAAAAATAAGAACTGATAATATTTATCAGAAATATACCTGAATGTTATAATAGTCTTAAATATGGACTTACGCATTTGTTATTATTAGTTATTACTTTTGCTAACAAACAATTATATGAATGAGATAATTTTAGCTTGGGTATTTCTTGGCATCGTGTGATAAGTATGGCGTTTTCAGCTTCTAACTCAAAAGTATCAAACCGGTTAATCCTTGTGGGGATGAAAAAACTACGGGTAACAAAAAATAGTCAAACAGCTCGACACCGTAAGTACATGATAACTGGTTATAGGCCGTTTAACCAGTCTTTTTCATGCATGAGAGTAAAAAACAAAATTGTCAACAATTCTGGGCAAGCTCACTGGACGCTCTTTAAGATTCTGTAAGTATCAGAATTTTGAAAGTGGATCGTAACGGGTGGTTGTAAAGCACATAATTTTTGATCTGTCGTGACAAGAAAAAACCCGTGAATGTACAATTTTCAGCAAAAAAAGACTTAATTTATTATTCTTATTAATATTTAAAATGGAGCAAGAGCTTCTCTTCCATTAAAATAATTTTGAAAAAATCTGTTGAGAATTAGAAATGATTTTTCACCAATTAACTGGTTTTCACTATGAGTTGCTTTGACATTTTAATGTTTCTCCATGTAAAAGACTGTCTTAATGGTGAAGTATTTTGCAATGCAATGAACTTATTTTTCATGCCAGTGGCCAGGAATGTGATGATTCCCGTCGGTGTAGCCATACGTGGGCATCTTCCATTTTGATTATCACTTAATAAGAAAATTATCTTAAGGGGGTTGTTTGACATAAATAAAAAATATAGTCATTGTTTGAAAAAAAATTGTACAAACTAATAATCGTATTTATAGAAATAAATTTAAATTTCAGATACCTTACTAGCGTTGCAGTCTAGTAAAAACCCATAAAAAATTTTTTGAGTAATACCTATTGTATAAAATGAAGCTCTCATAAAAATTTTATTGGTTTTTGTATGACAATTATGTGGCCTATTTTGTTTAATAGAACTTATGGTAAGGAGCTGAAAATTCTTCTTAAAATAATTAAAAAATTTTTTTTCCAAGTCAAATATGTAGTTTATTGGATTTTATAGGAATAATATCGTTGCAGATATAACACTACAATTTTATTATTAAAAACCGATTAAATTTTTGTTGGAAAGTACTTGGTTAAACTGATTTCAAATTTATCAGATAATTCTTATATTTTATTCATTGCAGTTTACAAAGGCCAAATATTTCATTGTGCTCTTGAAGTTCAAGTTTTATGTGGGTAAATTGGAATATACGGGCGCAAAAACCGATATTAAACCAATAGCAGATAAGATTAGTGTTCATTATTTGGAGGTCGATTTTCGGGTAATGCATAAATTTTAATCTTACCGCAAATGGCACTTTTGCAAGATACATGTTAATTTCTTTGTGGCTAGTTTAGATTGCGGCTGGTTTATATAATTGACTATATGGTGATTTTTAAATACTCACACAACTCTTGGCCAGAAGAAAGTATGACACAAACATTTCAGATCATAAGGTTTTTCGATGATGTTGAGTTGCGGCTGGTTTTAATTTTTGACCATGCACCCTCGGGCTTTTTAGCTCTTGGTCTATAATAACACATTTTTGTGTAAATACCCTTAATATTAGCAGAAGACAAGCGGAGCAGAAAGAAAATGAAAAGTGAGTGTGAAAGTGCAGTGTGAGATATATATTTATATATATGCAACAACATAATACATAATGTTTACACATGCACACTCATACTAAACAAAAATTACATGTGATCGCGGTGAAGCCGAGGTCGAGGATTACGTACATGACTGTTCGTATGTACGTATATATATACTTACATCTTACTTATAAGCGTCTTATCTGCTCGCGTAACCGCAATAAGTATTCAGTGTTTAAGTGTTTAGTTTAGTTGTTTCTACATGTACGTAGAGTACACCTCTACTACAACTAAGACTAGGGGGGAGAGGAGTGAAAAGAATATAGCGAAGCTCCTAATAGACGTATTATTATTGTGCAAGCGGACGACAGCGATAATATGACAGCGTTATCAAAAGAAAAGCCGCCACCACTGATAAGATCGTGAGCATTATCTAGCTACGATTACTCGTGTGTGCTTGGCTTGTGTATACGTGTTTACCTGCTGGCCGGCGGGCAGCAAGTGTAACGAATGCGATGATTTGAGTCTTTAGAGCCACCTGTGCCCAGTGCCAGGGCTCTCTTATTTTGTCTCGTCTCCTGCTCGGAACACTGCTTTTGCTGCTGCTGGCTGTCGTTTTGCTACTTGGGAGAATCATTGGAGGGTTTGTCCTCTCCTGGGAGACGTGTCAGTCGTTGTCTAAAGCAATATTAGCAGCCTCAAGATGAGCTCCAAACATAGTCCTGCCAAAGTCACCTTAAGCATGATTAAGGGTAAGCACCTTTTACATTGTATTTTTGAACCTCCTTATCCACAAAATGTTTACGTCTGTCGTTCTCCATGCCTGGGATGTTTGAGAAAGGATCGTTTCATCTATTTATTTAATGGGATAACAGCTCTCACTTGCCGCTTCTGCGTTTTCTTGCTTTATTTTTTCGTTTCGCAAAGATGAGTAATATGATCGTGATGCAATGCCCGAGATACAAACCAACACTAAAAAAGTGTGTTCAGAGGAAACAGTATACTTTTATGACTCATTCGTGTCTTTTTTTCCAACTACTGTTGCACCTTACTGCTTATTGCTCTTGCTTGTCGGAAGAAATAATTCTTATTATTTCGATACTCTGATGTGTAATAATAAAAAAAATTGTCAAGAGTAAAACTGTAATTAAAATATTAAAAAGTTACTTTGATACTGAGGACGTATATTTTTAGTTAATTGAAATAGGTCGTTTCCATAACTGTCATACATTCACGCGTATATATTATGTAGTAGTTGATGATGAAATACTGAAATTGCAAGTGAATAATTAATTTACTCTCATTTGTAACAGGAAAGCCAATAACGATGTCTGTACCCGTGATACGCTATCATGCCAGCGATGACGAGCTGGAGGAGCTCTATTCTTTTGCGGATGATGACAAACGTTCAACGCCAGAGTCAGAGAAAACTTCTCCCAAGCTAAGTCCAAGAAAGAGTCGTATTACTATTTATGATGACAGAGACAGCTACGAGAGCAATTTGGAGAAAAGATCAACAAGTATGGATGAAAACTTGTCAGAGGGTGTACCACCAGCTGACCCCTGGAGAGTATTTTCAGGTATTAAGGGGAAGATTACAAAGACGTTTGAGGAAAAGCTTCATGAAATTAAAAGTGAGAGGAAAAAGTCCAAGCAAGACAGAAGCAGAGATACGTCCAGTGTGAGTGATTATGAAGATGTGAGCGACATCACACCTACCGAAGATAATGGCTCCGATAAACTGGAGAAAGAATCTTCTCCTGTACTTAGAAAGAGGACAAACTCGTCGAGGTTCAGTGGATTTTCTTACATAAAGACTGGTCTCAAGGCAAAAGCAGAAGAGAGCGTAGAAGATGGTGTGGAAGCAGCAGAACTGACGAATGAGTGCCAAAGCAAAGAAGATGTTTCAAGTTTTTTAAGTAATACTATTATTGAAGGAGATGCTACGGTTAGTGATAAAAGTACGTCGTCGACGGGTTTTAAAAAGAATATAAAGTCCTATTTGCCAGAAATTCTCAAGTCTACAAGTTTGGGTTTGACAGAGTCGGAATGCTTGTTTATTCAAATAAAAAATAATATATACTACGAGGCGTTGATGTTAACAGTTGTGCTCTGTTGTTGCTATTACATTCCACTGTCTAAATACTTCATAGGAGTATGGGTTGGCATTTTTGCATCTTTTATGGCCCAAAAAATTTATAATAATATTTGTAAGCTGCTGACGATTCCAGAAAAATCTGTAGTACCTGTGTTAGAGATCTTGCCTGTTGAGGAACACGCAGCTCTGGAAAAGTTCGAGGGATGGCTCAATGAACTGCCCTACAATTACAAGCCAGATAATTATCATGTGGCACGCACAAATCCTGTATTTTTTGTACTCGAAGGAGAGGTCCTTCAGGTTTTTGAAACCAGGACTAGGGTTCCCAAAAGAGCTGTTTGGAACGAGCCTAAGTTGAAGCCAAAGTTCACCAAGAGAAGGGTGTACTGTTTGGCAGGAGCCAAAGTTGAATTGCTTCCATCCGGTCTTATTAGGCGCAGGTAAATTTATTGTTAATAAATGCGTGTATTTTTAACTAAGAGAATTTAACCGAATGTAAAGTGAATGTTTTTAATGATCTTTAGCGTATGTTTATTTTAACGGTTGAATTTGAACTTTCCTAAAAGTTATCAAGTTATCGAATGTTTTAAAATCACAAAGATTGTTTTATTGGTGTTTTAACAGTTTGTTCTTATTATGCTGTTGTGCAGTAATCGGAGCAAACAAAGATCTCTTGAAAAATTATAACATCTTTTTTAGGCGATGGAGCAAGAAGTATCCAATATGTGTTACATTCGAAAAAGATTGCATGAAAGAGAATGCCGTGGTAGAAAATTCATCTGATGACGAGCCTCAGCCGTTAGATGGTGAAAATGATAAAATAATTATAGAGGAGGAAGAGACTGATGAAGATGTGTCTCAGTCCAAAGATGCGAGAGACATATTCGAAGACTGTCAAGACGACAACGAAGAGGCTCAATTAAAATTGTATATTTTTGCTAGGACAGATCGACAAAAAGAAGATTGGTTAGTAATTTTGATTAATGTTGTTTTTAGAATACTACATTATACGATTCCATAATAGTAAGTGGATTTATTAATATTTGAGTGCAGGTTCAGACGTTTAGTATCAGCCTCAGAATTCAGTAGCAAAAGAAGTTCGATTTGTTCGACCAAAGACGTGGCGACGCCAGGAAGCACGCAAGTTCAAATTGGCAATGAATTGTCTAAGCCATCAACACCGTCCAGTGCTGCATCCGATATGCCATCTTTTTTGTCGTACCAGGCTTACATAAGTCGTTACACAGAGGTAATACAAATTTTAGCTTTTTGTTATCGCCATTAAGGCTACATCAACGCTTCCCACAAATTTAAATCATCTCAAATGGAAAAAATAATAAATAAAAAAATCTTATTTCTGTTAGGCTTTGTATTTGGTGTCCCTATTAGGCTGAATTCAGAGAACCCAAAACAGAGTTGAAAAACAAGGAATTACAATGAAGTAATAGCACATGGTTTGAAACGCTTTGGGAATATATTCAAGGATATTCAAAGAGTATTTAAGAACTTTGGCAACATAAAAATTGTTGGTTTTTCATGGATAAAAACAGCCATTATCGCATATTTTCCAACTTTAAAATTTATATCTTTGAAAATATTAACTTAAGAGACAAGTTACAAGAGGCTTTTTTTGCTTATAGTCAAATATCTTACAAAAAATTTTTTCGAGTCAAAAGAAATAATTTGCAAAATTTGTTGAAAAAAATTGTTTAAACGATTTGGGACCAACTGTTAGATCTGGCAACATCCAAATTTGATTTCAGGAGATCATTTTGCATAAGTTTATACAAAAAAAAAAGTATAAAAATATTCTCTGATGGATAGATGGAGAGCTTTGCTACTCTCTGCGTGTGTTTGATAGGCAGAGAATGACAAAATACTTTCCTAATAAACTACACCTTTTTTTTTTTTTTTTTTTTTTTATTTTTTNTTTTTTTTTTTTTTTTTTCATATAGTGCTTTACGTCCGGCTCCTATAAAGGGCACTACACAGGACACTTAGCACTTTAAAGGAGAAAGGGAAGAGGGATAGGAGGCCTCCCATTACTGGGAGGGGGGTAGGGGGAAATTAGGCAATTTTTTGCTGCGAAGAGGTCGCCTAAACCCTCCTCGAGGAGCATTGCGTGGGGAAAAAGCACATGCGAAAATTCACACAGGTACATGCCCGAAAATGTTGCACTGGCCGGGAATCGAACCACGGTCTCCCGCGTGCCGACTACTTAATATGCAATTTTTCTGCACACCCCCACCGAAACTGCTTCATATCTGCCTTGCTCCAAAACACCCTAATAAGCTCTTTCGACGAGGGTATGTAGAAAAATAGTATACGCACCACGTTCGGAGGTTAAGAGATACCCTAGTTTTTACTTTATCCACGTTTATTCACGTGAAATCTGCGACATTCTTAACCTCGCTCTCTAGGTGCGTAATATACTATTTACGTTTGAGGTTAAGTATAGCACTTTCATTCCTGGAATAACAGAAACAAAGTGGTATTTTTAGCGGAAGAAGGAAAAAAATCGTATACTTGCCTTGAGAAGAAAATACCTACTAGGGTACATTATCTTACTATAAATGAGAATCCTTATTGCAATACTGTATCACTCATCCAGGGAGGAAAAATAATGAATATCTCGCGTATAGGCAATTGAGTATATGAGTTCTCATTCGGAAACTACAATTTCATAAATTATTTTGCTTTTTTCGCAACTAAAGCTATTTAAAAAACATTTTATAACTTTTAACTTTAATCGAAAAAGCGAATTTTTTTGTATTTAATTAAACAATACCCCAATCACAATTGGCGATTCGTTTGAAAAAAAAAGTTATTCTACTCCAACTCCCTTTCGTGCGAATTGCTGGAGAAATTCCATACCTGATTTTGATTTATGTTCTGATATCGCAAATCGAATAGTTAATTGCGTGTAACAACAAAATTGCATTGTACACCCAACTATTTTTAAACGTTTAAAGGGTCGGGTAACACTTTTTGCTCTTCCAAAAACATAAAAGACTCTAACTGAGCAATTATACCAAAAATCTGGAATGAAAAAAGGCTTTTATTACAGCTTCAAGCTCTAGCATCAGACGTGGAATCGGAAGCGCCAAGCCCAGCACCTGGTGCATGTCCTGAGGGTCTCTGGTTGAACGCACTCCTCGGCCGGATGCTCTTCGACATGCACAAATGCCCGGAGACCATAAACGTCATCCAAGACAAAATACAACGCAAGCTCTCCAACATAAAACTCCCGTATTTCATGGAGAGCCTTCTTGTTTCGGAGTTGGTGATCGGCCAGGGTGCTCCAGTCATCCACGGCTCAACGAAACCAGTGATGGACGATCGGGGGCTTTGGTTCGACCTAGACATAGCTTACGAGGGCAGCTTGACCATGACCATCGAGACCAAATTGAACCTGATGAAGCTCAAGCGGGCCAACTCGTCACCTTCGAATTCCAACTCGTACTCCGGCGACATTGTGGGAATCGAAAAGGCCGCCCGGCCTCCCAGGTCCCCGATGTTCGACAGCGACGTAGAAGATAGTCCAGAAACCTCGACGGAAGACGAAGACAGTGTATCTCTATCGACTACGGCCTCGACCAAGGATATCACGTAAGTCGTTAACTTGCTAAATGTCACTGTTTTCCATGATTTTAAATATTATTTTTCGTCTTGATAGTCCCACTCAGTCGTCCGGAAAAAAGTTTCTCAATATGGTCGATAAGTTGGCGTCCAACAAGTACTTTCAGCACGTTAGTATTTTTTGCACCATCAATTATATATTTGATTAAACAAAGAGCTAGAATGTTTAGTTTAAATTGTTTATCTGCACAGGCTACAGAAATATCTTGTGTAAAGAGGGCGATGGAAGGTGTTTCAAATACGGAAATTCGACTGATGGTTAGTGTTTCCAGTATAGAAGGCTGCTTGTCCGTGAATATTCCACCACCACCGTCTGATAGATTATGGTATGGTTTCAAGCCCGTCCCGAAAATCAATTTGACCGCCAAGCCCGCGGTTGGAGAACGATCCTTCAACATCGTCTACGTCACCAAGTGGATCGAAAAGAAGCTATTGAAGGAATTTGAAAAAATAGTAGTGCTCCCGAATATGGACGATCTCATGATACCTATGTGTCCCAACTACCCGTACAGCTCGTAAAAGTAAACGAGAGAAATAAAATAAAATCATGTTAGCTGGCGGCAGAAGCTTTTTTGTTTGCTCACGCGATCTTGAGATAGATTTACGAAAACATAAAAACAATATTCAACAAAAATAATTGCCTCAGAGAGTAATGTGATCGTGATATATTTTTTCTACATTTCTTTTTTGTTATTGTTCATTCCCTCGACGGTATTGACAATCATGTTTTGAGTGATATATATTTTCGAAAAAAATTATATTTACACGTTAACGGTATTATATTTTTAGTATCCATCATTTTTAATAAGTTTCTTCTTTTTTTTTTTTCCTTTTCAAAAGCAGCACGTCTTTGAAATGTAAATACATTTATCATATGTTTTTTTGCTAATTAATTTTTATTCGTAGATATCGTTCCCTACATTAGGCTGTGGAAATGTGCATAAATATTATAAGTTCACTTTTTGTTACCCTAAATAAGCAAGATTTAGTTGCGATTTATGTTGCGGAGTTGGACCAAGTTTACGAGTGCCGTTTTTTTCATGATGTAGTTATGGGTGACAGGTGAAAGGGCATTTGTAACGAGTAGATTTGGACACGTGTATTTTTTGATTTGGTTGAGTTAAGTACACACTTCGAACGACGAGGTTGTGGTTGTGATTGTATTTTAACTTGCTCCTGATTTTTTTCATATCGTTGTGAAATTAATAAATTTATAAACTCTATTATTTTGTGACTGGAAAAAAACACACAGTGAAGTGTCGATACATGTGTAAATATAAATATTTAAGGTAAACTAATTAATGACAGGTACACACAACACACCCGCATACTTATAGTGAGACGAAATTTCAAAATACACGACAGTACACCAAAGTTTAGAGCCTAAGATTAGTTGTTTTTTACTGACCTCTTGTCTATTGTACTTCAGCTCATTGTGCGCCTTTTTCCATGCATTTGTTATGGAGAAAATAAATTATATATTTGTTGAAAAAAGAATATTTTTTGGTGTTTTTTTTTTTTCTTAGCTGTAAGTACCACTTTTCATATTTTTCCTTTACATACGTTTTATTGAAAAAACTACGAAAAAACGATTTCAGAAATTTATTGCAAAATAAGTTAAAAAATAAGATAATGTTGATCGTAGCGGAAAACTGTAGAAATCCTACAGAAACCTGTATATTTTTGCTTCGTGCAAGTAGGTATAGTTGGGGGATAACAGAAAGTAGTCACTGATTGACTCCGACATTTCTGGGACTAACCGAAGAAATAACAAGTGCGGCCCCGCGAACATGGCATCTTCAGCCACACTCTCATATAGTATATTATACCCACTCTCTATAGTATAGGACCTATCAATTTAAAAATGAACACGTCTTCCCCACCGTTTGGTATAATCGTGTAAAAAAATTACTTTATTAAAAGTCAAATCAGAAAAACGTCCGTTGTTATATATGGTCACAGTTCCATTCGTTAGCAGATTATAAGTATCGGACACCATCGTCATGATTTTCACGTTTTCACGTATGTTATATATGGGTGATTCTGCCGTAAGTGGCCTGCAACTACATGAAATTCAAACTGAATATTCTGATCACGTGGAGTTATGTTAAAAGTGTTTTTTTTTTTTTTAACTTTCAAGCTGATATCTTGACTCCTTAATAAGGTAATTAGGAAAATTTTATGGCAGAATCATCCATATATAATTTCAATTTATACGCTTTAATAGCAGCCGACGCGCTGCTGCTGCGCAGCGCCAGTACAGAAAGAATACATAAGTTTTCGCATAAATAATACGGTTTACGAAACGACAGTGCTGTGTGTGTGTATCAATTAAAGTGTTTTTCTTTCGATCACCGCAACTATTTATTTATTAGTTTTTACTAAAAATTTCTTTTTATTCACAAGAAGCTGATAAAATGTCGGACAAAGCGTCGAACAGTCAGGCACAGCCTATTGTCAAGATAGGACATTACACTCTAGGCGCTACCCTGGGCGTCGGGACGTTTGGGAAGGTGAAAAGTGAGTTGGGTGTCATACAAAAGGGGCTTATTCCTCTTTTAGTTTAATTTATGAACCAAACAAAAAAAAAAAAACGATACATGTTCAACAGAGCATTGATTTTTATTCATTTTTAGTTGGTGAACACGTACTCACAAAGCACAAGGTGGCTGTGAAAATTCTCAATCGACAGAAGATTAAGAGCTTAGATGTGGTGGGCAAGATTCGCAGGGAGATCCAAAACCTCAAGCTTTTCCGACACCCACATATCATTAAATTGTGTGTTCTCATATTTTCATTGCTCGAATAAACCAAGCATTACTTTGACAGCTCCCTGTCATGGTAGTTATGTATTTTTTGCTCTAGGTATCAGGTCATAAGTACTCCAACAGATATATTTATGATTATGGAATATGTGTCTGGGGGCGAGCTATTTGATTATATTGTCAAACACGGCAAACTCAAAGAATATGAGGCAAGGAGATTTTTTCAACAAATCATCTCTGGAGTCGACTACTGCCACAGGCACATGATAGTGCACCGTGATTTGAAGCCTGAAAATTTACTTTTAGATCACAACCTTCATGTCAAAATTGCAGATTTTGGTATGTCATTGACAGCAGTTGTTTATCTTCCATCAATAGTATGGATAATTCGAAAACAAAAAATTGTTTATCTCAGGTCTATCAAACATGATGATGGATGGAGAGTTTTTAAGAACCTCATGTGGATCTCCAAATTATGCTGCTCCTGAAGTTATTTCAGGAAAGTTGTATGCTGGTCCAGAAGTTGATATTTGGTCTTGCGGGGTCATATTGTACGCTCTTCTCTGTGGAACATTACCTTTTGATGATGAACATGTTCCGACGTTATTTCGCAAAATTAAAGGTCTATTTTACTTATTTTAGAGTAGGAATTTTTGTGTATTGTATAAATTTAAAGATTCATTGTAGCTGGGGTTTTTCCTATTCCTGAGTACCTTAACAAGTCTGTGGTGAGCCTGCTGTGTCACATGTTGCAAGTTGATCCCATAAAGAGGGCAACGATAGAAGATATCAAGTATGAAATGAGTTTTCAATAAAAATTCCAACCCTGTTTAGTTACTACTTACACTGGTAAACAACGGTTGAAATTCACATTCTACCCCAACGTTTGTAATTGCAGAAAACACGACTGGTTCCAAAAAGATCTACCCACGTACCTGTTTCCTTCCCCTGTGGAGCAAGACACATCGGTAATTGATATCGATGCTGTGAATGAAGTTTGTGAGAAATTTAATGTAAAAGAAGCAGAAGTCCACGCGGCCTTGCTCAATGGTGATCCCCATGATCAGTTAGCTATCGCTTATCACCTAATAATTGACAACAAGCGAATAGCCGATGAAGCAGCTAAAGCTGAGATGAAAGACTTTTATGTTGCATCAAGCCCACCTCCTGTGGCTTTCAGTCCCAGTGAAGCGAGTGGCAGTCCTCTCAAGCCACACCCTGAACGAATAGCGCGTTAGTACTCATATTTTTTAGATAACATATTTCCAAAATAAACTGAATTGAAACATTTTTCATAATTACATTCACATTCAAGCCCTTCGAGAGAGACAGGGTTCTCTAAGCAGTACACCCTCACAATCATCGGGTAACCGAGGCACACCAGTTAAGAGGGCAAAGTGGCATTTAGGGATAAGGTCGCAATCAAAACCTCACGACATTATGAACGAGGTTTATCGTGCCATGAAAGCTTTGAATTTTGAGTGGAAAATTATTAATCCGTACAGCGTGCGAGTGCGTTGCAAAAACAAGGTAACGGACAGGTACAGCAAGATGTCTTTACAGCTTTACCAAGTAGATTACAAGAGCTACCTGTTAGATTTTAAATCCTTGTCCAGTGAGGAGTCTGAAGATATATCTACAGGTCAGTTGTTTTTTTTTTTTTTTTTTTTCCATAAAAACAAACAAATTGTTCNATTGATGCTATGGTGCACAATAATAATTTGTTTGGTATACTTGTGGTAAACAGCATCAATCAGGAAGACCTCGTGTATTTTCGTTTAATTACATAAAATTAATTGCCTGATAGTCTAGTCATTGAATTCTATTCTATTTTTTTTTTTTTTTTTTTCCATAAAAACAAACAAATTGTTCTTAATTTTTACGTAAACATCATTGACGGTTTCAATTTTAAAAATAGACGCTGCTGCACCTCCTACACAGCCAACAGGGCACCACTCAATGGAGTTCTTTGAGATGTGCGCTGCATTGATAACGCAGCTGGCGCGGTAGAAATCAATCAACGATCGAAATGGAATGCTTGCAGTTATTTTTGTCAAATTGATGAAAAAAAAATGTTAAGAGAGCGATCGTTGCTTATGACGCAGGCTGGGTCATTTTACTCCTGTAATGTAAATAATTCAAAGACAAACAATAGCCTTATGATTCTTGGTTGTCACGGACGACGTTGTACATTACGCGCGCATACCTATAATGATCATAGTTAAGGCCGTAAAATCGGAAGTCAAAGCGTAGAGCGCGATTTTTTCAATATATTACACACACACACGCGCGCGCGCGCGCGCACACACACACATGCATACATAAATTAACATGACGTCGACTTCCGAGGCAAATGTCTAATTTACCAACGAACTGTAGTGTATTTAATTATTGTGGCTTGTGGAATGCGTTGTTATTGGATACCTGAATATGTAAGTCAAGTATTACTTTGAAATAAACTAAAATCACAAAAAAATGTTAAATACCAATTGTTGAGTAAAAAAAAAATTATGGTGTTGAACAAAGTAAACACGTTTTTTTTTCGTTTTTCATAATACCTAAGTATATTTATTTTTACACTTTATAATTCTTTTCGCACTGAACAGCATACACTTAATTAATTTTAATATAAATTACAACACGATTACTTATCTATAGTTTCTTAGTATTTTTTCTTTGTATGCATAATCTTTTCGATAATATTGCGATTGTTTTTCATTGGCAAAAATTCGATATCGTATAAAAGTGCGGTATAAATATATGCGCGTTAGAAAAATATACATTAGTAGCGCGTGTACACGCAGCTGTATTCCCATTTTTCTTACAGCGTTAAATTTTTTTTTTTGTTTCTTGCGCCTCATGCCTTACTTATGTATTCACATGCGAACTACGCAATCTAAAACATTCATACATGTTCTTTTTTTTCTTGTTGCGTTCGAAACACCGTCAGTATGATACCAAGCGTACAATGAGTGTGCACAACTGCACAACACAAGAAATACCTAAAACACAGATCTATTCTTCCATCACTCGTGTGGCAGAGGACAATAGAGTACTGCTCGATTGTAGCTGCCTTTTGCACCTCTCGATGTATTCTTTTTTTTTTTTTGTCAGCTGATTCATATATTTCGACGATGTTAAAATATTCGAAGTTTACATAATGGCACAGTCTCTTATCTATTCCCTTATGTTTTGTACAACATGTGCGTAGTACTTTTTACCTTATAGGTAGGTATATTCTTGATTAAAGCTGCCTCTTAAGCTCAATTTTATACATTAATTGCATGTACTGTTGGATTGGCAGTTGAGCTGATGAATTTTACTATGTTATTCTAATACTAGCTCATTCCGTATTTATTTAGTAAAAAGTTTTAAAAAATTACTGGGCCAAAGAAAAACTGATTCTCGAAATACTTTCAACGTCTTCATCAGTAACTTTACAATAACTCAAAAAATAAATGCATCTTTTTAAGTCAAAAGCTGTATACTTTGATCAGCTCCATGAGAATGTTTTTTTTTTTTTTCATTATCACATTTTACTCAACATACACTGTCAACGTTTTCTTAAGAGACATGTTCAACTTAACATTTAAAAAAACAAGCTGAAGTCTATTTTTTACGATCTGTACAAAATACTTACGATACAGACGTTCTGAAAAATCATCCTTAGCCGAGGCAGCGTTACTTTATTAACCAATATTTATGAATAGTGATCAATAGTGCTTTAAAAAAATGTTAAGGTCTTTCGTGAGATGTATTATGTACATGATAAAAGCGTGTTTCTTTAATTAAATTACTTTCCTTTTTCTTAGTAATCGCGCTGACTAGAGATTGATGCTATGGTGCACAATAATAATTTGTTTGGTATACTTGTGGTAAACAGCATCAATCAGGAAGACCTCGTGTATTTTCGTTTAATTACATAAAATTAATTGCCTGATAGTCTAGTCATTGAATTCTATTCTATTTTTTTTTTTTTTTTTTCAATTTTCATTTTATAAACTAATTATGTAATATAATGATGAATAAATATCTACACTTGAGAGTGATCTAGACAAGGACACTTTTTGTTAATAATCATGACTTACTAAATACACCTAAAAAAATTAAATGAAAATACTAATTAATTATTTAGAGCAAAACTTTCAAAGTATTACCATGTCGAATGTTTACAATCGAAATTACTCCACAAATTAATTAGTTATTTTAACAATTCTGCCGTGTAAGGCCCGATAAAAAGCTTAAAGCTAGTTTAAAACAGTGAAAACTGTCCATGCCTTTTTCTTTTAAATTACCTGGGAAAATTTCTTTTCAAACACGAAGAACCCATCGTTCGTTCTCCCGTTACAAAGTTCACACATTAAAAACGCAAACTATGTCAAATGCAGCATAGTACTGTCAAGATTATCAGAATTTTACGTTCATCTCTCGATGAACTCGGTGCATGAAAGATCTTAAATATAAAGTCGTCAACGGCTACAAAAATTCGATGATACATTGCACTTAGTCGGCAAGGATACGAAAATTCACTTGACTCGTGATACAATCCAATAGCATCGCACAATTGAATATAACTCCTTTATGGCGCACACATATGCATCAGTATACATGTACTTGTGGTAAAAAAAAACACTTTACGTTGCAATCGTTTTCAAAAGCCCGTTAAGCATCCTGACTCTCTGGCTCGGGTGTCTCGTTGTCAACGAACTCAACGTGCGTGAAAGGAAAGTGTCCAACTTTGCCGTGCAACTCACCCTCCCACTGGCCATTGATGTTTGTTTTCGTGACTTTGATTATGTCACCAACTTCAAGTTTTAGCGCCGTCTTATCATACGCGTTGGGTACGCGAGCTTGCTTGACTTTGGCAAATGCTGGCAACGTTCGTTGAATGTTAGAGCGACGCTGTGTCAACGTGTTCGTGTTGGGAGTGCCCTGCTGCGAGTTTGTACCCACTGGTTGAGATTCAGCATGCGACGATTGTGTTGTACCCGAACCTGAACTACCGCCACTTTCTGGCCTTGCTGGAATCGATTCCACTCCCGTGTGGTTGTCTTCCTCGTATTTTTGCACATACGGCACTGGCACAGAACCGGTTTGCCCAAGACTGTTTCTAGCTGTCCACCATTGCTCTTCATCTTTGGAGATTACGGTCAAGACATCACCTGGAAGAGTTAAAACGCCAATATAAAATCTACGAATTACAATAATGTATCATTTTTCATACATGATTTTTAAATCCTTAATCATATTGTTTTCTAATCAATTAAAAGAAACCAATTTAAATACGTAGAATAAAAACTCAACGCCAGTCTTATGTTTCATAAAATTAGCGCTTCTTTGAAACTTTCCATTATGCAAGTCTATAATGTAAAAGGTTGATTTTTAACTATTTAATCTTATCTAAATTGTATGATTATTATTTTATCTCCACATTTATGAAAAAACTTTGTAAGTGTTTCAAGTGTACTTTACCACGGCAAAGCTATTGATGTTGTAGTATAATTTAAAGGTTCTTTAGCAAAGAAATAACATACTGTAATAAAGAAGCTAATAAAATATCCTACCTTTTCGAAACGGCAAGTCATCAGGGTCATTGCCTTCAAAGTCATACTTAGCAATAACCCTCTGAATTTTCTTTGGCGCTGGTCTAATTAACGGTGTAGTGTCTAAATAATGAAGCTTATAAAAGGCTAGTAGACTTGGTATGTCAGGAAATAACTGATCCCCAATCCTATAACGTATTGTATCACTTTGCTGGATTTTGTTGATGATGTAGTGACTGACTTTGCTGTCCTCTTTGACACACAGGACAAAATCACCATGTATGGAGATACTGTCCCTTACCAGAAACACACCTCCTTCCTTTTCGCTCATCAACAAGTCAGAAGCATCCTGCCGAGACATTGCTCCAAAATACCAGCTACAAGAAGTTCACCAATGAATCAGTAAATTAATAACCATCTCATTTGGATAATACCTTTCAAGTAAATAACGACTTTGGAACAATTTGACGTTAAGGAAAAGGGATTGTTAAATTAATCATTGCCAAGTTTAGGAGCAATAACTTTTTTTTTACTCAACATAAAGCAAAGATTTTTAATCATACTCCAAAATTGACTAAGAACTAGTGGTAAGTTAACAAACAACTATTCATGCAGACCAAAAAGATAAAAACTCGTTTAGAAAACACTGTGAGTCAAAAGAGAAAGCATAAACAAGTCCATCAAGTAGGTACAATGTCACGTGCCACCTGGATCTTTAATGGCAAATAAACAGGATTAGAATTCTAGCAGTATGTGCTTATGCGTGCTTGTAAAATAAAACTCAGGACAAAATCTCACCTGGCCTTATCATACTGGTCAAAGGAGCCAGCCATGGTTGTATCTAACCAACTATTGAAAACTTCAAATCTTTTTTTTTTTTTTTTTTCACTTTAAGTAAAACACACGCACGCACACACCACGAGCCCTCTTCGCGTACTCACTAGCTGGGAGGGGCAGGCGGCGGGAAGGAAAGAACAGATCTTCCAAAAACTTGTCTCTGGGTCGGGCACGGCGTGTTTGAACGCTTCCTGGACATAGAGATGTATGAATGTCTCTATCCTTTGGTCCCAGGTTCGTTAACCTAATGCAGCTTCCGTCGGCTGAACTCTTTAGCTCGTTTCACAGCAAAAACGATCTCATATTGCTCGGATGTTTAATGGGTTCTCAACATCCTATGTACCTCTCGCTAACTTTTTTTTTTGCGTAATATGTACGTATACATAAGAAGATTGTGTACGTTGCTTGAATCGAACAAGTGTCCGACTGTCAAGCTCTTAGCTTTGACGTACTTTTCTCATTTATTTTCACTATTGTTTACAATAGTTTTTTATTTCTTCAATTCCACACGTATCCATTTAGCCTTTATTCATCCTTACACGATTACACGCACAATTTTAAAAACTTAATTAGATATTCACCAGAGACTCTGTGAAATAGATGAATAACTTTTTTATTGTGTGTAATATCTCCTTCACTGTATTGTGACTCGTGACAATGTAATTATTGTACCAATTATTAATAATTGTATGTAAGCGCTGCACACACTAAACTACCTGCTGAATATCTTCCAAAGTATCAAGGGTGTGAGCTTCCTTGTTTTTTTAATGTCTCTGACCAACTGATCAGTAAGTACAAAAGCATTTAATAGACTTATACTTTAGTACATATCTACTTACTTTCATCATTACACTCGTTCGCTTATGGTGGTCGGAGCAGTCGGAACACTCGGACTCGGAACTCTCGGAGCGCTCGGACCTCAGACCTGTCCCGTCCCGATTCCCGAATTCGGGTCACACACAAACTAAATAGGCCATGCGCTAAATTAGCATTGCTAATGCTAACATGTCACTGGTCACACGAGACACGAGTACACGACTGACACACGAGTTTCATTATCATTATGAACGTTCACAATAAAAAAGGTGAACTGCACATCTATATACACAGTAAACATAGATACACTTTATTGAGGAATGGGATCGGCTGACGGTCACAAAAAAACGTACCCATATTTACTGTTGTAGACCAAAAGCTGAGACCTGGGGCAGTACCATGTAACTTTTTTTCAGTACATCGGGCCTATGTAATAGGCCTGCAAAGAGTGCAAAGCAAAAAAAAGTTATATGGTACGGCTCCCGTGAGGGTGGTCAAAAATCTAAACCAGCTGCCACTCAGATCAGAATTGAGAAACCTTATGATTCGTAGAGATCGAAAATATTTTTGTCATATTTCATTCTGGTGAAGAGTTATGTGGTAATTATAGTAGTGCCATATAATATATTTTTATATTTTATAAACCAGCCGCAACTTAGACACATGGATAGGAACAGTAAAGTAATTGTTATCTCGGAGTGCTATTTGTGGCAAGATTAAAATTATCTTCTGTGCAAAAGTCGACTTTTTAAAAAAATAGACCCACAAAATAGCAAAACTAAGCCAAAACTTTGTCAATTGATTTTTTTACAATAATTTATATCCAGAGTCAAAGTTTCAACCATATTCGGATTTAATAATAGTGGAAAAATGACCTTTCCAAACCGATTAACTAACACTGATCTTATCTATGATAATAATTCAAGATAATAGATAAGGTACTATAGATAAGATGGCAGATAAAATAAAAATATATTTATACACATTTTTTTTTTTAAGATTGATTTTTGGGTATAAAATAAGTTCCAATTTGACCGCAAATGGTATTATCCGTTAACAACTTTTTGTTTTCTATCCATTAGTTTAAGTTGCAGCTGGTTTATAAAATAAACTATATGGCACCACTATTCGCTTTGAGCGCAATTCCAAAATCGCGCCCCCACTGGAGACTTTGATAACGATTGGTCGTCATTTCATTCGTCATCCTTATTTTGAAATCGAGCTTCCGGCTCCATTCACCAGGTGGCCAATCCTTAAATATCGCTTTTCTACAATCATGTGTGAAAATCAATTCGAAGTACTATCCTTTTCTAATCACTACCAATCGTTCTCAAAGTGCCCAGTGGGGGCGCGATTTCGGAATTGCGCTCAAAGCGAATAATTACCACATAACTCTTTACCAGAATGAACTATGACTTAAATATTTCGGTCAGAATCACAGCGTTTCTTAATTCTCATACGGGTCGTGGCTGGTTTAGATTTTTGACCACCCTTGGGCCTCAGCTCTTGGTCTATATTGTGACTATGTATATACATATCTACTATGTAGTGACGGCTCTTACAAGAAACAACGGAACTCAGATTTTCCCATTTAAAATAACATTGGAAATTCTGAGTTCCGTTGTTTTTCGTAAGAACTGTCGGTAGGTACATACTAGAGGAATCGGACCGACTGACCGACTGACCGATACCGATCACAAAAAAAACGTATTCTGCGTTTCTAAGAATCTCAAAGTAAGTGGACAGACTAAATAGACCTATATGGCATGTCACAATTTTTTCATTTGGAACGTTCCAAATAAAAAGTGCTCACGTACCTGGGTACGCTCGTCAGTATACACCATTTGACATTGTGTTCCAGTATTGCTTTCCTTTCCGACAACTTACCGGCAACTTTATCGTGTCTTATGATATCGTGTGTCATGTTTAAGTTGCCAAAAAGTTGTCGGAGAACAACACTGAAATACACCCCAGATCAAGTCCTCTAATATAAAAAAATATAGGTTCTGTACAGTTGTTCACTCTTTTTTGAAGTTTGAGCACCACCTGGAAGCTAGCACGCAAATTATCGATTTATGCAATAAAAAAAATACTAGGCGACGTGTTTTTATCTGCACATTTCATTTATGCAAATAATTGGATCTGCACATGCCTCAATTTTGCATAAAAAAATAAAAAAATATTTGCGATTTGCAGGACGCAGTTGGATAGTGATATCTCGGCAACAAAGGCATATTTGCAACTGCACACAGTTTTAATAAACTGCACATTATCCGAACTTAATTGCACAATCAAAATTTCTATCTGCACAACCTTATTTAATTAATAAATCAATTAATAGGAATAATCCGTATTGTAGCTACGAGTACTCATGCACTGCGCATGTCCAGCTGTTGACATCGCTTATAGAGGGCGTCAAGCCTTGGGTGGGAAAGTTTAAAAAATTCTCAAACAAACATAAAACATTCATGCACTTTTACTCTCTGCTTTCGTATTTTATATAAAATAAGGACTTACTTATCAATTAGGAATTTGTAAAAAAAGCACATGCTCAATTTGAACAGTTCAAATAGAAATACAAATTTCATACATATATATGTATATGCGAATGCAAGTGAAGTGGTGCAGTCTGCTCTGTCTGCTTCATGGCATTGATACATTCTGCATATTTTACACATATACTTTACATTAACCATGAAGCTAGGTTGCAAAGTTGACTACCTCAAATTTGATGTACTCATTTACTCATATAGCTGGTAAAAATACTTTGAAGGGTATGCTAAATGTCGGCATGGAGATCAAGATCAGGTCTTGTGTCAAAA